GGGGGGGGGGGGGGGGGGAACTCGTCGTGTCTTGTCATCGACGAACTGCCCTCGTTCTCCTACCAACACAGACCGCCGAACATGATGGTCTCTCCCTTCTATGTTTTCTCCGCATTAAATATTAAATTTCCAAGCCAACATGATTTTGCTGTCTCCCGGCCCAAGTGATCGTGGGTAGGGACAATCGTGTTGCATCAATAGCATGTAATCTCTCGTCTACTGAATTACTACTGTCAGCGATGCTGGTGTCACACCACTGTTCAACGACCACCACCACCGCCGCCGCCATCAAAGTACAGTACTACATGAACGACTACGCCGAAGCCTACCCGACTACCACGACCGCTCCTACGGTTGTTGTTATTGCTGCTGCTGCTGCTGCTGCTGCTGCTGCTGCTGCTACCATGCGGGCGCTTAGATTACCTGTTGTCCAGGAGAAAATCTGTTCGGAACGATGAGGACATCGCACATCCGGAAGTGATCCCCCACGAACCCGTTTAGCCTCCGCAGCTCGCGATCCTTCACCTGTGGCGTCATTATCAGCGGCAATCGTGAAAAGCAGTTCGTGTGTGTCAAGATTGCACAAAGCAAAAAGGTCCAAATGACTGGAGGGCTCAATGACCCAGGACCATGAACAACATGCACTGCGTAGCCGTCGGACAACCGGTTTGCCTCCCAACCTTGCAACGATGCGAGGGAGAGAAAACACATCCGATTCCCCTGCATGGTGCATGCCTTCGTTGTTATGGCGACACAGGCCTAGGAAACTTTCCCGCAACCGTGCATTGCTGCAGAACGTTGGCCAGCAACGGTTTGATCTGTAGGCGAAGGCTCAGTGATAAAGGCAATGCTGAAAGAATACACCACCAAGCCTTCGCACTTGTTCCCCTCTCGCACCTTATACTTGAGGCAGATGCCGACGAGGGTATCATCGGGTAAAACCACGTGCTCGAGGAACTCGGGGGCAGGATCTTCGTGTACGCCTGCGCTCCACGCGACACACAAAATGACAAAAATCCAAAACAGTGGCGAGAGAAAAGAGACAAAACAAGCCACCATTACAATGAAATTCAAGAAAAACCTCGGAGGTTTCGACTAGGAGAGGTATCATGGTCGGCGTCACGCACAGGTTGCTGTTCGATTCAGCGGTCGTTTGTGTCCATGCGTCGGGGCAACACTCGGAACCGACAAGTTCGAGCGTGTTGTGAACATTTCCTTCGCTTTCCTTTTGTTGTGCATACACCAGAGGTTGTGCCAGTTGCGCCTCGGAAAGTGGGAAAAGCGGAATCACGAAAAAAAAAGAAACCCTCGGTGTTGAGAAAAAACAGAGGTAACAACCTTTACTCATTAGCGAACAAAAAAGTAAAGTCACGCTCAAATATCGATGCCAGATTATTCGTGCCTGGAAAGCTTTCTGGTGATCGTGGGGGATGTTTGGTGCTTTTTCTCTTCGACGCAAAACGCCAGCATGTGTCGAGTCCACTAAGAAAATAGCACACTTCATTTCGGCCTGGCGGTATTCGCAGTACTCGCGTCCTACGTGTGCACGGCAATGCACACAACAAAGAAAGAAATGGTGCGATACAAGGTGAAGGTGATGCTAATACCTTCTTCCTCTCCCTGTTCTTTCGTAGCACCGCCTTCATCTTGCTCTTGTCGAGACGGCTCTGCCTTCCTGACCCTTTTTGTCCTGAGTTCCCAAGTGCCATCGTCCAGCTTTCTCCACTCCAATCCGTGAGGAGGAGGCTTCAGTGGCTTGGCTAACTCCTTGTAGTCTGTGATGAAAACAAAATAAACGGGCACGATGAACCACGATAACTACTGGGGACTTCAAAACGGTGAACAATAATCTCCACGCGGAATTGAACCGAATGTCAAGACCGACACACGCACGAGAGCTCAACAAGCTGCGCGCAACGACAGTTACCAAACGAGCGGTCACCAAGACAACGGTTATACACTTGGTTCAGCGAAGCTGAGAAGAATGCTGTGTGGGCGTAAGCTTAGCAGCTGAGCAGAGATTTCGCAGAAGCACGAGATGTCCAACAACTGAAAGTAGGCTTAGGTTGGAATGTTGCACATGATGATTCCCCTCGGATCAACTCTGCCTTTGTAGACTTGGCGTGTGCCTGTAGTACTTGAGTACTGTTAAGAACCCCCCCCCCAGTTTGTGAAACATGGCAGGTGTACTCTCTTCGCCGGAATACGGGGTGCTGTCCTTTGCTTGTCACCATGAGGAGCATTAGCGAATTCGAGGAACGACAATCCAACATTGGCCCCCCGCCGGAGCCAGTCCAACCCAGTCCCAGCCCTAACCCTACCCAACACATTCCATGCAGTCATTACTTGTTCTGCTTGATAGTCAACAACCTATTGGTGGCTGGAGCGGTGGCAGCCACAACCAGAGACCAATGGTGGTCCAATATGGTAGAGACTTGGACTCAAACATCAACTAGACACCACGTCCTTGCGGTCCCCAACATGGCCATGTTGCTTGCATCCTATAACTACTGGTACATAGTCTGGGCTGATACCGCTCGCGAAGGTCCGTCGCGTGATTCGAGCGAAGCGAGATTTCTAATCTGGACTGCCGGCCCCCCGAGTTGCAAGGGCTCGCTGACTCCCAAAAAATCTTGCGTGTCTATCACTTAATGAAAAAGGGGGTCAGCACATCTGTTTTTTTTGGAGCACGCACCAGATTGCAGCTGCAGAACACACGCATAAGCACACACGAAAAACAGATAACACACGCCCAGCGGGCATAGCGACACATGCACAGCGGATAGAACAGCCGTAAAAGCCGCGTTCAGGTGGTTCTTTGTCCAAACCGAGACATTGCATGGTGCCCTCGTCTTCGACTGCTGCTGCTGCTGTTGACGCGCGGGGATTTTTTGTACTACACTTGACAAACACGGAAACAGGAGAATGAGGACAGCAGCAGCCCCAAGCCCGCCAACGCGCTGATTCCTTCTATTCGGCTGTCTATATCACCCTCACTTCCGGCGCTGTGCTGCTTCATGGGTATGGGGGGCTTGGGTGCTGCTCTAGAAGGTGTCGTGTGAGAGATGTGTGCCACCTCGCCAAACTGCCGTTTGAAAATATGCGGTGAGATGGCCTGTTTTGGGTCGGACACAGCCCCACAAACCAGGGTACCACGCAGCAGTACAGCAATAGGGCCTCCGACACGCTAATTCTTTCGGATTGGTCATGTACATGATTTTTAAGTTCGTGTATGTACCTTTTGACAGGGAGCGGAAAAAAGTAAGGCACAACGGGAAAAATGGGCGAAAGGACTAGAGGAAATCGCAGGCGACACCCAGTTTGTGACACTGCTCCCTGCCCCCAACGCCGAAAACAGCAGGCCGGGTTAACAAGGTCTTTACAAGTGTGCTGCCCTCCGTGTTGTTGCTTGCTTTTGTGCTTGTACCACCGCTCTACAGTTTACCATGGTAGTGAACAAAGTCAAGTTGACCTGTTGTGATCAAGCAAGGCGTGCCGCGACAGGAAACGATTATTTGCGCCGATTTTTATTGACCGATCGTGAAATTTTCACCGATCGATTCGGTGATTTGGGGGGTCGATACGTAGGAATACGCCTGTCAGTACGCACTTCCGCCCGTGGACGCACATGTCTGACGACAGTTACATCTATCAGCTGCGCTCATTGTAGCGACAGCTCTCCTATCTCTTACAAAAGCTCGGACGGGCACTTTTTCCTCCCCCCCCCTCCATGCTGCTTGTACAGCATGTGCTCTGGTTCACCATGCAGTAGCTGTCAGTTTTGGATTCGTCCCGCCGGATAACAAACGAGTGCATCGGAAATAAGTCCTGAATGCCCGTGGGAACATGTTGGAAGAGGGTCATCCCGAAAAACAGAAAACGAATCAGCGCTGAGCCCTGGAGCAGAGCGGGCATAATGGTGAAGTGGGAGTTTGTCCGCAACAAGTCGATAGCCCGTTCGTTCTTGTCATCTACCTTTGGATATGAGCAAGAAAGAAGTACGGCAGCCATGGTGCCTATCAAATCTGCATCATTCCAAGCGACATCGACACGAGGTCCTTCAGTCGACGCACCGGAGGTTGACGCATACTGGTATCTATCTTCTTGTAGACGTACCGCGCACCCAGAGGAGGGACTCCTTGAAGTTCTAACGCGCGTTCGTTGCATCCTGCTTCCGTGGGATACGGAGCAGCTTGATCATCTGCGGAACATCCAGCTGTCCTCCACGACCCGCTAGGGGTGCTAGCATATCGCTCCCGTAGCGAAATCCGTGACAGTTACCCTGATGGGAGAAGGTGCTACTGCTGTAACATCGTGCTGACTCGATGTTGAGTCCGCTGCCTGTTTTGTCCGGTTCGCGCCATATTATACAAGAAACTACTCACCCGGCGTCGGGCGAATGTCCATCTTCTGTTCCTTCCACGGTAACCACCTCCCTTCAGCCATGCTCTCTCTCTCGCGCGCTCTCTGTCCCTACCTCTCTCTGCCTCCCTCTCTCTTTGCCCGGTAGGTCGGAGACGCGGCACTGATCTGGTCATCGGTTGGATGCTGGCTTGCTGGAGGCGTTCACGTTTGGTTTGGCTTAGAACCAAATAACGGTTTGTGGTTTTTGTCTTGGTGTCCCTTCCCGCCGCAACTACTGTACAAACTACCCAGCCCATGTAGCCTGTCGCTGCAGTAGCTCTGTAGCGCATCTCTCCGCCTGATAGATGCGTGCTATTCCTAGCATCATAATTTCCTCTACGCCCATTCCAAGTATTTGCCAGAGGCTGGTCTGTGCAGCAGTAGCATATCTGGTCCGGTCGACCAACGGATCCGCAGCGTGAGTTGTGGGCATAGGGCAGTGTTCACGCACTGGCTCCGGTTTCCTATGGACCTCCCCTTCAACCTTCATATCTCATGAGTATTCGCAGCAGCGTGGATAAGTGCACACCAGGGAGAGGGCTGCGTGCCATCGTAGAAGAGACTTTCATATGACCCTCTCGGGGGTTGCGTGAGCTGCCCCTGTAGACAATAATATGTTCGTCAGCTCTAGTACGTCGGTTGTAGACGGTACCCACTTTTGTACCGCCGACGAGTTGGCAGTCTCCAGTGGGTTGCTCCACTCTCTTTCTCCCCCCTCTTCCCTCTCCACCCCTTGCCCTTCTGTCAGCCTGCATCGCGGAAAATTCGGTGGTCAGCAAGCGACTGACGACACATTCTCCACCCTCTCCAAGACTTCAAACTGTTCTGCGGTGCCACTGCTGGTGAGCGTTAAGTCTCATGGCGGCATTACCAGTGCCTCCAGAACTATGGTCCGAGTTCGACACCGAGCTGGATAGTCTGATGGAGGGAACCAAGGCAGCCGAGAAGAGCTACACTGAGGGGAAAGGCATGTCGCTGGCGTCGATTGCGGTGGGATCAGCTGTGATGCGCTTGTCGAAGGTGACTGGACGTCTCACAATGCGCGATGATGAAACTAGTTAGACCAACGAACGTCCGTTGTGTGTATTGCCACGGCGAAAAGGCACTCCGTTTCGGACGAAAAGCAGATGCATGCACTCTTGCCTTTGAGAGGCATCCAATGGTGCGATCCAGGGTCAAAAACCAAAATCCCGTCCTCTTCGCCACACAACCAGCAGAAGAGGTTCAGGCATTGCCCTCCTGAGACCAATGTTGTCCATTGGCCAACCCTGCGCCGTCGACAAACGCCACGGAGGAAAGAACCGGACCCATAAGGTTGAGTGTACTGTAGGGTTCGGATATTATAGATTTGGGTATGCACGCTCGAAGATTGTCCAACTTGTGCCGTTCTTTCGGACCTTGTGAAAGATACCCCATGTACCATCCCTTCTGGTAAGCCCAAGCCTTATCAGGCAACCCTGATATATTACCTGACAGCCCCTTTTCAGGTCGGGGTTGCCTGAGAGGGTGTCTGGTGCCTGAGATGCCTGAATTTCGTCAGGCAACGCAGCAAACCGCCAAAACACGTGTCAAGCACCATAAAATAAACGCCAACTCTCATTTTGTAGATTGTAAGGGGCCGAGGGGGGTCCGTGACACAGAGGGGGGAACAAATCAAGTACGGACCCCCTCCCAATTTGAAAACACGCGGCACGCGCCGCAGCGCAGCCGCAGCAGCAGCAGGGCCAGGAGCACACACGCTGCAGACCGCCGTAGACCTGCAGAGTGTAGAGCGCGGAGTGCGGACTGCCGCGGTGTGATACCACTACAAGGAGATCTGTATCATGCCTCAGGAAGAAGGCATCACTGTTGCTGCGTCTGTTCCGGCACCTGCGGGCGTGTGTCGTGTGGTCGTGTGGTCGTGCAGCAAGATGCGACCAGCTAACTTTTCTTGCCCGTACATGAAAATGGATTGCGGGAAAGTCGGGGGGACGCCAATCTGACTGCTTGCGTTGACCTGCGGCTATATTTTGAACAACCCCCTGCCCCTCGAGCTCGTGGACTTTTTACCGTTGACTATTTAGCACTTCAGCACACACCAAACAGATGGAAGTGGGGGAGGATGGTGAAAATCATTTTACTATGCTTTACTTCGGTGGGGAAAGCTCTGCTAGTTGTCGAACGTTGGATGTCCGAATCTTGTTTTGAACTTTTGCTTGGTTCCTTCTGTATAATTTGTGCAAAGTAATGGTTTTCTCTGTTTTCTTTCTGCTCCTCCAGCTGTTCGGGTGTGCTCTCTGTTTTTTGCCCCTCACCCGCTTCAAGCAACCTCTTCTCTTGCTAATGTCGGTGAAGTTTTGAGTCGAGACGCATGGGGTAAACGGGGGGAAACAACGTACTTCTGCCGTAGGGGGGCAATTTCAGTGCTGTTTGCAACACAAAACATCATATATTCGTAAACTACATGTCTAAGTACTTCAGTGTAGTGAGCCCTGAATGCCAACTCTGCCGGTGCACGTTTGCTACGCGTGTTAGGATGATCCGAACTGGGGGTAGCTTGTCGCAAGACGTGTGTTGAATAGGGTGTCGGCAACTCGGCGAGCTCGCGCCAAGGAGGAAAGACGTGTAGGGTTTGTTGCATAAACTTCTCCTTCACATTAACTCACATGAACTCACACGAACTCACACGAACTCACACGAACTGAAAGCACGCGTGCACGCACCACCACGAGGGGGCGACGCAGTATACAACAGGGGTACCTTACACACCCTGGAAATACATTCCACGTACCACACAATCCTACAACCACTTGGCATTGCTACAAGTATATCTATCAGCCCCCCTGCTTGTGACCATGCCATGTCTTTTTCGATCCTAAATAACTCCAAAACAATAGCCTCACTGGCTAGACATCAATAGCCATCCCCGATCATACCCGTTATACTTCTTCGAACTTCAGTGAACTAGTTACCCCCCAGCCTAGAACATCATCCATTGAGAAAAACCATAGGCTAAAATGTAAAATGTTGCCACCCCAGTTGTTTGATCACACGCAAAATAAATCCAAACACCAATATATTAATCCATACTCATCACGTAGTTACGATGAAACTCAAAATCTCCCGCATGAAGTGCTTTCGTGAGAAATTCAGCATGTTGATACGCCGATTCCACGTGAAAAATCGAAATCTCCTTCCTGCCTACCAGTTCCCTGATAAAGTGGTGCCTTACGTCGATGTGCTTCGAGTTACTGTTGCTTATCGGGTTTTGCGCCAACTGAATAGCCCCTTGGTTATCCTCGAACACCGGAATACATGGCATGCCTGCTTCTGGTAACATGAAACGCCACACCTGCCTCAGAAACAACACTTCCTTCATCACATCCGCAAGAGAGACATACTCCGCCTCTGTCGTGCTCAACGTAACGCACTTCTGGGTCCTTGAAAACCAAGAAATACATCCCCCCCCACACATCACCAATCCCCCTGACACAGACCTCCTATCGGCAGCCTTACTTGCATAGTCTGCGTCTACGAACACCTCCATGCTTAATCCTGCTACACTACCCCTCCTGAATGTAATACCCAAGTCACTAGTCCTTACCACATACCCCAAAATACCAAGCCCTGCTCTCCAATGAATCTCTTTTGGAGAGGCACAGTACCGTGCCACCGCTCTTACTGCATTCGCGATATCTGGCCTCGTTTGCGTTGCCAGCCACATCAATGATCCTATCAGCTCACGAAAAGGCCATGATACCACTTCCTCATCCTGGTCAAACTCTGAAAGCTTCAACCCTACAGGAAGAGGAATTTCCTTCCCGTACTCTACCCCAAACTCCATCCCCAACTCTTCAGCGTACGTCTGCTGCGAGATCTTCAAAGTTCCTGCATCCCAATCTCTCTCATAAAAACATCCAGAGTACCATCTCAAATCCCCAAGATTCTTCACAGGTACCATGGTGTTGAGGTCCCTGCCAAACTGGTCACACCTCTCCTCTTCTCCTATCGAAAATATATCATCTACATGTACCACCAGAGTCACTACCACTCTTCCCTCCTCAATCAACCGAAACACACACGTATCCGCCATACACTGAATAAAACCCAAACAAATCAAACACCTCGCCAAGTGTGAGTGCCACTGCCTTGATGCCTGCTTAAGGCCATATAGACTCTTGTTCAACTTCACGATCATACCTGATAATCTACCACACCCCTCTGGCAGACGCATAAAAACATCCTCATCCAAATCCGACTGGACAAATGCCTGCTTGATGTCAAAATGACGGAGAGAAAGATTTTGCTCACACGCCATCGCTGCCAACAAGCGAACGCTAGAAACCGCTACAGTCGGTGCATACGTCTCTCCACAATCTACATGTACTCGCTGCATATCTCCTCTCGCTACTAGCCGTGATTTCACATTGGTTGGCCATCCATACTCATCAGATTTCCAATCAAACACCCACTTCGCCTTGATAACACTTTCTGGTTGCTACATTACTTCCTCAAAGGTACCAGCCTCCATCAGGCCTCTGAACTCCTTCTCTACAGAGTGTATCCACAAGTCAGCATGTTGAGAGGACACAGCCTCCCTATACGTTTTGGGTACGCGCAAGTCGCTCGCATAGCACTGTGGCAAGTCCGGTGCCACTTCCGGGGGATCTAAATCCCTCATCGCGCGATCAATGTCCTCGCGGGAGGCAAGCAAGGTGGCGCACGCAAATGGGACTTCTTCACGCAGTCCTTCTGTTTTCGTGCCCTCCCGCTCTCGCCCCCCCGGCTCCGCTCCATCACGTCCTCCGGCTGAACTCGGGATCTCCTTCCTCCCCCCATCGACGATGCTGCGAGTGGTTAGAGTCGACAGGAGCGTTGCCTTGTCCTGCAGGGAAACAAGACCGAAGCGGTGGGCGAGAGCGTCGCCGCTCCCGCCAGGTGACGTCGACCGCTCGGCCCCCCCATCCTGGAAACGCACCCGCCGACCCCTCAACCTCCCTGGCACCCGCGTCTCTCGTCCCAAGTCCAGCTCTCGATTGGCCCTGGCAGAGAGGGGCGGCATTGACGACGCACGCCCCCCCCCCTGGTCCTTAGCGGCTGCCCTCGTGCGCCCAGAAACCCTCATGTCGCCGCGCCCCACGTCCAGTTCACGGATGGTCCTCGTAGTGAGCGGCGGCATGTTGGTGGAAGGCGCGGCACCGGGCGGCACGGCGGCGGGAGACGGTATTACTGACGGTGCAGCGGCGGTGGTGAACGGTGAGGCCGGAGGCGAGGCGGCAGTGGTGAACGGTGTCGCGGCGGCGAACGGCGGTGCAGGCGGCGCGGTGGTGGTGAACAGTGGCGCGGCGGCGAGCGGCGTTGCAGGCGGCGCGGTGGTGGTGAACGGTGGCGGTGGTGTGGCTGCGGTAGACGGCGCCGCCGGCGATGGTGGTGTGGAAGTTGCCGGCGGCGCCTGTGAGAGTATGGCAGCGGGTGAAGTGGGAGGTCGGGCATACGGTGAGGGGGGTAAGAGAGGCGGTGAAATATACTCAATTAGAAACGGTGCGGCGGCGACATTCGAATCTCCCCCCTCGTCCGCCGGCGCCGGCAGCTCCAGCGGCGGGGTCAGCAACGGCGCGCGGTCGGAGACCCACACGACGTTGTTCGTCATGCACACGCGCCCCGTCGCGAACTTGAGGACCTTGACCGCCGACTCGTGATGGTTGTCGCCGTTGTTGAGGTAGCAGCACAGCACTGCCTGGGGATCCATCTTCCTCGCGCGCGTCACACGCATATACCCCGGCTGCAAGAACGGGACGATCTGGAGCGGTGGCGGGCGACCGGTGAAGAGCTCGTGCGGCGACTTGTACCCGACGTTTGCCTTGGTCGGAGAACGGTTGAAGCCGCCGGCAGCCCAGTGACACGATTCTAGCCAGAGTCGCTCGCCATCGCGCCCGAAGCCGGGGACGCGGGTGAAGTCGATCTTGGGGAACAGGCGGGGTGCCTCGAGACGAGCGGCGTGGCCGGCCTTGTTCACGCGCCAGATCGCACTCTCCGCCGGACCATTCTGCTGCGGGGTGCCCGGCGCCGTGTACGTACGGCGGATGCCGGCGTTGTCACAGAAGGCGATGAAGTCGCGTCCGATGAACTCCCCCCCGTTGTCCATCCGGAAAGAGCGAGGGACACCGGTGCCACTCATGTCGGCGAGGAGCTTCTTGACGAAGGCGAGAGTGTCCGACTTGCGCCTCATCCCGTACAGCTTCATCCACCGCGAGAAGCTGTCCACGAACATAATCATGAAAAACGAACCCCCCAGCGAGGCCGTCATCGGCCCACACAGATCGATGTGCCAAAGATCGTGCGGCCGCTCCGCGCGCGTGCCCGATTGGTGAGGCACGCCCGCCTTCTTCCCCTTCGCCTGCAGGCATCCACCACAAGGCTGCAGGACACCGGTCAGTCGGAGACCGTGCTGCTTCGCAAGCTCACGCAAAAGAAACTCATTGGCGTGGGAGGACGAAACATGGAGAAGGTTAACGTCAATAATCTTGGTGGGTTTCCCCACCGAAAAAGGGCGCTTGCCCGGGGCCATAACGGGAACGGCGAAAGCAACATCATCGAAGACATTGGCAAATCCAGACTCAAACATCAAGTCTAAAAACTCGTAGGGGTCATCCGATTCTTGTCTCTGTTCTAAGAGGTACAAAGCCCACTCGTAATCTCCCTGCTCTGTGAACGGAATAAACCCACGGTCATCATCCTCACTATTCTCTTGAAAAACGGTGACGTCCGGCGATGGCAACCCGGGAACAGCTACCAACTCCATACCATGCGGCACTTGAGGAGCGGAGGGAAAAACCACACTCCTGTCAGCGGGGGAGGGGGCATACACTGTCGAAAGAACGACGCTGCTCGCAGCGGGCGGGATATTGATCACAGACGATGGCACTACGCTGTTTGCAGCGGGCGGGAAACCATACACCGTGGAAGGTACTATGCCGGCTGCAGCGGGCGGAAAATTCGACACGGGGGCATATCTGTGGGCGGTGTCACCAGAATGTACTACGCTGTTGGGAGCGGGCGGGAAACCAGAGACGGGGGTCGGCACAACGCTCGTCGGAGCGGATGGAAGCACGACACTGCTGACAGTGGGCGGGAACCTAGACACCGTTGGAGGTACTACACTGCCGGCGCTGGCGACAGTGGGCGGGAAACGAGAAAACGAGGAAGAGGGCATGTACGCTACACCTTGGGGAGAATGCTGCATGCGGGGGATTGCATGCATCGTTGCAACACCAGTCACACTCACAACGTCTGCAGAGCGAGGGGGAGGCGGAGGTAACGGTGTCACCACGGGCGCAGCAAGTGGCGTCGTGTAATCGGGCGGTAAACGAGTCGCTCTCAAGGAAGAACCACGCTCGCCACGGGGAAAAGTTAATCCACCGTCAAACAGGTGGATACCTATAGGATCCATTTCAATGCGTTGCCCTCCCATGGCCTTGTGAAGCGAAAACAAATTGTAACCCATTCCCTCAACGTGATACACGTTGGTGAGCTTCACGCAAAAATCGTTTCCACCATTGTGGAACTTGACGTTCAGGCTGCCGATACCAAGCACAGGCATCGTCCTACCATCGCCAATCACTACTCGCTCTCTACCAGGCGGAGGAATCATCACATCGTACATGCACCTCGGGTCACCGGTGGTGTGATTCGTGGCGCCTGAGTCTGCAAGCCAAGTTTCGTCTCCTACACTCTCATCAAGGACGTTCATCATTGCATATCCGTCGTCCCTTCGCTCTACTAGCACTCCATTTTCAGACTCACTTGGAAAAGCCCACACCACACACGCATGTAAATCCCCACCAGTCGATGGAGACGCTCCGGTCGAAGGCGCCGGAGGAGCGTACGGGTTGGAGATGGGCTGCTGCTGTTGCACGGGGGGGGGAAGGTACTCCGGCTGCTGCTGTTGGGGCGAGTAATGGTAAACGCCGCTCGCGTGCGTCACCGGATTTTGGTAAACGCCGCTCACGTGCGTCACCGCATGCGCCCCTGTAGATGGAGCTGTCGTCGCCACCGCCGTCGCTCCTGCTGCTCCTGGCGCTACCCCCGGGTAACCCTCTCCGCCGTATTGCTGCGCCGTATTTGCCTGCCCATACGAGTGTGCCCAAGGCGGCCGCTGGCTGTAACCACCGGCCGGCGGCCGGGGCGGCGGGTGCCTGGGCGGCGCGTTGCCTGCCGGCATGCCAGCTGGCCTTCCGACATCAACACGCGAAGGGCAGAACAGGTGGTTGTGGCCGAGTTCACCGCAGTTCTCACACCGCTTGCGAGGGTCATTCGGGTGGATGGGAGGTTCATTTCCCTGTGGGCGGTACATGTTGGGGGGGTAGGTGCTGTAGTCGTAGCCTTGCTGAGGTACAGGGTAGGCGGGGAGGTTGCTGCCGGGCGATCCCTGGTGAAAAGGGCCCCTGCCCCTCCCACCGGAAGCGGCGCCACGTCCCCCGAATCTTCCTCCTGCCGGCTGCTGCTGATGACGTCCTCCTCCAGAAAAGCCCCGGCCCCCATGCTGGGGCCCGTGCCTTCCGCCGTAGCTCGCACCTTGGCCGCCCGAGGGACCTCCCCAACCCCGCTGCAAGCGACATTCCTCGTTGCTGTGGGACGGGGAGTTGTGGAGGTCGCAATATTTTATTTCAGGCGGGTACGACGGCAGGTATACCTGTTGCTGCTGGTTGAAGTACGGCTGATGATGCTGCTGTGGCTGCTGCGGTTGTTGCTTCTGTTCCCGCGCTGCCGTCCTCCGTTGTCCTCTCGTCTTCCCCGGTCCCCCCGTGTTCCCTCCCCCGCCACTACGGTTCTCACCGCCAGTGACGAGGGCATAAGCCCCCACGCTCTCCTGCTTCTTCTTCCTTCGCGCCTCCATCTCCGCCCAAGCATTCACTATAATCCGTTCTACTCTCTCCTTCTCTAGACCGCTCTCGGACATCAGAAAACCTGTGTAGACATCATATTCGGGGAGGAGGTTGCGCACAAGATGTCTGTTAGCATCATCCTCTGTAATTGTCACTCCGCAAGATGATAGCCTTTGCCTCAGCACCCACCCTCTCGATAGGTACTCTTTCGGGTGTTGTTGAACCCCTTGCGTCAACTCCTGCCACTCTAGCTGGAGGCTCGTCTTTTCTGTGTGGGCATGCACTTGAAAATGATTTCGGAATATTCGCCATGACTCCGTTGGGCAACCACTAGAGATCATTGCTGGTACGATCGATGCAACTTGAATCTTTGCCAGTAGTAACTGCCAGGCCTTCATGGCCTTCTCTACGGCCTTTCTACCATACTCCTCCTTCAGTTTGGGAATGTCTGCATCCGACTTCCANCTACTTGTATTACAGGGCTGACACGGATGGTGTCCTTAGGGGTTACGACTTCCCTGGTTTCCTCCACCGGGGTGTTGGTTCTTCGCATCGCCCGTGCGAACGAATCAACGAGACGGTCCTCCAACGATCGTGGCTGGTCTTCAGGTTGCGGGTTTAACGCTGTTCCAGCCGGCCGAGCATGCCGGGGATCGCCTCCATCGGGGGGCATGTCCACGCTCTCTGAAGCGGGACGCTTTTCTTCTTGTTCTTTCATCCTCTGTTGTACTTTTTTCTCCACCTCCTCTTTGATGTGCGCCGCTAATGCTTGGCGATTCTCCTCAGTATAGCTGCTGAGGTCGAAGGCTTCCTCCATAGTCTACTTCTCTAGCCGAACCCGTTTGTAGCTAACCTCACCTCGGGATCCCGTATGATATCAGCACGCTAGCGTGTTAGGATGATCCGAACTGGGGGTAGCTTGTCGCAAGACGTGTGTTGAATAGGGTGTCAGCAACTCGGCGAACTCGCGCCAAGGAGGAAAGACGTGTAGGGTTTGTTGCATTAACTTCTCCTTCACATTAACTCACATGAACTCACACGAACTCACACGAACTCACACGAACTCACACGAACTCAGACGAACTGAACGCACGCGTGCACGCACCACCACGAGGGGGCGACGCAGTATACAACAGGGGTATCTTACACACCCTGGAAATGCATTCCACGTACCACACAATCCTACAACCACTTGGCATTGCTACAAGTATATCTATCAACGCGCTACAGTTGCGTACTAAGGGCGCCAAAACGACCAGAATGGGTTTCAGGCAAGTCTCAGGCAAGTCTCAGGCAAGTTTTCAGGCATGTTTCCTGATTCAAGTCAGGCATGTCAGGCATGAAATACTCACGTCATGGTGTCAGGCAAATGCCTGAAATTTTGCCTGACCGCAAAATATTTCGCCTGCGGCGGGCTGTTTTGCACATGCCTGAAGCACGCCCTCGGTGTGCCTAAGACTACCCTTACCTTCTGGTTTGACGAACAAGACATAGGCACAACGTACTCCACCCTTGAAGCTGGTCGCTGCTCTTACCGGCTCTCTTTCTGTCTCTCCGTCCCAAATTGTTTTTTCTACTCTGAGTAGTGCACTGACAACAGATATGTCTCCACGAACGATGGCTACGGTTCATGTATGGCGCCACCCTTCTAGGTTCGGGCAATGGCGGAGAGCAGAGACCTCCAAAACACAAAATCAGCGCTCGAGAAGGCCACTATCAAGATCCGCGAAGCGGCCTTCACATCATCAGGGTGGGTATTGTAGCAAGAGAAGGCGCCTGAATTGGCACTTCAGACCACATGAAAGGTTTCATCGGCGGTTTGAACAACGCCGCTTGTCTTGCTCGGGTTGGTGTTCAAACGTTCTTCCTGAAGCCCAATCAATTCGATCGCCAACGATCGGTTTGGATGCGAACATGTTTACAATGTGGTCCAGCTCGTAGACGTGCGGGCTTTCAAGGTCCGGTTCCCCATCCTGTGGCCGAGTACGCATATTGTCCAGTGGTTGATACCGGAGTAACCGTATCGAACGCACCTGCGTGCGAGCCGATGTACCATCTTCGTCGGCTACCATGTTGTTTCTATGAAGAGCCTGTGGCAGTGGGTACCATCGCCTGCTTCCGCCAAATATGTGATTATTATTGCTTGTGACACGCCAGCCTTCATCGCTTGTCGTCTGCTGACCGTGGAGATCGCTTATTGTTTCTGCCGAAATCTCTACTAGAGACCCCGAAGGAACCACCCTAGCTCGAAACCTCGGCATCATTGAGGCGTTGGTGGACGTCGTGAAGCGCATGGAAAGCCCAAAAGGCGGAAAAGATGTGGAGAAGGGGAATCGGGACGACGCCAGGACGCGTGCCGCTGCTGCCGCTGCAAAGGTATTCGGACATCGTATTCCCGCTTAGATCGATCACAAACGTGAAGCCGCCTGGTGCGGACCAGAGCCTATACCCAGGCGTCTGGCGAACGGGCAGCACGGCTTGCCAAAATGATAACCGCAATCCAAGATGTTCAATCTATAACGACCCTGTACACCGCATTGTGCTCGCATTGACATAAGGGTGACCTTGCTTCAAACTCAGTACCTTCCTCCCCTCGTCACTACGTATGCAATGTACATGTTTCAGCGCAAACAGAACGCTGACGGTGGAGGAGGTGCACCAGACACAGCGAATAGCTCGGACTGGATACCAGATAATCACACTGTGGAAGGATGGTACAAGGATCTAGGCATCGTTGAGCCGGACGATAACCCTCTGTCCTG